CGATGTTCCTGGTGGTGCTGTGCAGCCCTGTCCGGGTAGGAGCTGGCCCACGGGGTCCGGGGGGGCCCTGCCTGCTTCGGGGTGCTGCGGGGAGGTGAGGCTGCTGGGGGGGCTGCATGGGCACAGTGCACAGTGTTGCTGGCAGGCGCTGGCTGACAGCCTCTGCTGCCTTTTTGTTTTTTTTTTTTTTTTTTTTTTTGCTGCTGTCAGTGCTCTTTTCCTATATCATCACTGAAAAGTGAAGTTTCTATTTCTGGGTAGTTAAAGATTTATGTGATAAAGACTGTAAAAATAGGTGGAACTGCTATTTGCATTTCAGCCTATGGTACGGAGAGGCCTCTTTGTCACTCTTTCCCACTTTGAAATAATACAGGCTACCAAGATTACTTGTAAAAAGGTTCATGTAACATAAGTAATATGTGACCTATTGAAGTCTGAGTTACCATAATTAAAGCGTGGAGCAGGGATTTTGGGTGGTGTAGTTTAGCTGGTGTGTTATGAAGAATGAAGTGTTGGGTTTTTGGCTGCTGGGAGCCTAAAAGCCAAGTCTGGCCCCAGGACTGCTGAACTGGGTTTAAGTACAGGATCCAAAGTCTGTAAAAGTCAATGAAAAGACACCCATGGTCTTCAGGTAATGCTTTTGTTAGCATTTCTAGGACTACTACAGCTCCTTCACCCATACTTCTAACTCTTTTTTTCTGCAGAGGGATCTGTAATGCTGGATATCTTTTGCTGCATGTGCCTGCATGTTCTGTAAAAATAAAGCAATAAAAGGCAGGTTGCAAAAATGTGAGATAGGCTTAAAAATCACAATATGGAGAGGACTACAAATAAACATTGTTTCCTAGTATTTGTCTTCTTGTTTCTAAAGCTTTAAGTTACTCTCACTTCACATTTTCAAATCTTTTTCCATAGCCAAGCGGAATAGAAACCTGCTTTTTTGTTTTGGTGACATTTTCTGAAGGGAGATAAGATTTTTTTACTCCGTCTCTTCAACCGAGCTGCTGGGCTTTAAAGAAAGCACCAGCTACAGCAGAGCTTGAGGTAACAGCACAGGAGTTGACCCCACCGAGGGTTAACAAACTATCAGGAGAGCATTTTGCTGCTTTTCTTTGCCTGGCTCTGCAGCTGAGCATCCAGGAGCCTGTAGTTCCCTCCAGCCCCATGATGGCCCTGCTCAAACTGAAATCGCTCAAAAGGAAACCGGTGGCCTCCAGTTCCCTGTCTGGTGGTGGCTGTGACCTCAGCTGGTACTGAGGCAGCAGGATTGTGAACTCTGTTTACACTGTCAGGAAGGAAAAAGCCTCCCCATCCACCTGAATGTTACTTCACCTTGGGGCAGTTACGGACTGCAGGCAGGGGAGGTGTCAGACATTTGCTAGACATTCACCCTTTTTGCTTCACACACATTATTCAAGATGACTGGATGCAATCATTAGCTCATTTTGCTTAAATATGAAGCAAAACACTCCTGCATGGGACTAGTCCCCAAATCAAGAGCTCAGTAGTGCCCACACCTGCTCTGGAGAAAAATCAAAAGTCTTTGGAGAAGCAGTTTGGCAGCTCTTTGCAGATGTCTTTTTCTTTAGCTGTTCTGTGCTAGGTTTCCGTATGGGGAGTGCTTTGAACTAAGCAGAAAACATCCGTAACAGCAATTACTTTCTAATGTGCCGTTATTCACCACTGTAAACTGATCACAACATCCTGCAGTATTGAAGATGTAGAGTTACATTCTCCCTCTGGACACACTTGATTTAGACCTAAGTGGAACTGACCTAATAGGAAAAAAACCCAAGCCTGATCCGGACTACAAAAATAACAGGCAAGGAATAAGAGAATAGCCTTTTTAGTGAAGAGCAATTTAATTGCATTTAATATTAATTTCTAAATTAGTCTCATATGATGTGAAAAATAAGGTTTGAGGGTTTTTAGATAATGTCAAGGTTGAAAGAAGCCTTGAGGAGAAATTGTGACTTTTTTTTACCGTTCAAATGAATGGAACTAGTGTCTCAAAGTGTTTTCTGGCAAGAAACTTCCATTTCCGTAAATTATTGGATGTGTCTGATGTCATTGTTGTGAAAAACTACAAAGTGGTGCAGAACAAAACTGAGGCAGGTATTCTGCAGCAAGCAGTGACTCCTGGCAGGCTGAATGGGGAACAGACTGGGGATAGCATGATAGTTTCTCTGGAAATCTCAGGCATTACCCCTGGGTAATAAGGTTTGTCAATCTTCAACTGTGTACATCCGAAATGTGAGGAGCCTTTTAATGTAAAGTCTCTAAGTATGCTACAGAACTGCAGAACAGCTGGGATCAAAGGGCACCTCTGGAGATCACCCACTCCAACACCATGCTCACCTCAGGGTCAGTCAGAGTAGGTTGCTCAGGACTGTGTCCAGGCAGGACAGAGACTCTGCAGCCTGTCTGGATAGCCTGTTCCCAGTGTTTGAGCACTCGTGCAGTTCAAAAAAAAAAAAAAAAAGTTAGGGTTTGTTTGTTTGTTTGTTTTGGGGTTGTTTGGTTTGGTTTGGTTTGTTTTTCTAATGTTTAGACATGATTTTCTGTATTTCAGCTCATGCCCACTGCTTCTTGTCCTGTCACTGGGCACCACTAAGAAGAGTCTGGCTCTTCTCATGTGTCCACGAAGGTATATTAAGATAAATACAAAAAATGTAGGCAATTAATGTTAACACAGAAAGAATGAATAGATAGTAGATTCAAAATACCAAACCTCAGATCGGTGACATTTGGTTTTGTTTGATACTGGTGCTTTGCCTGACACTTTCTGCTGCGTTTCTCGATATGCTGTGGGACAGCAGAGTCAGTATGTTCAACTCTGGGGTAGAATACTGATAGAGGGTGGGATTTAGCTGGTTGGACATAGATGCCTTCATTTGAGATGGCCACCAGGACTCTCTAGGCAGCCACCAGAGAGAAACGGGTTACTCCATAGTTGTCGTCTTCAAGTCATCCCTGTTCAGGTGAGCTCCCTAGAGATGTCTCTGTATCTCCACTGATCAGAAGGGGAGCTCAGAGGGTCATACGAGATGCAGGTGTCTGCATGTGATAGCTGGATCCTGCACAAAGTGCTCTTGGAGAGGCTCTCTGTCTCCAGAGCAGCACCGATACTCCCTGTGTTTGCTTTGAGAGGTGCTTCTGGCATGATTTGGGATCAGTCTTGGAGTTTAATGTACAGAGTAGGTGGCCGTGGGGAACAGAAGCTTACAGGTGTTCACATGGGTGCATGGTGGGATGGCTGCCCCCAAAGCAGGCTCCTCTGGAGAGAAGACTGCCTTCCTGTGGGGCTGGTGTGGGTCTGTGGGACAGACCTGGCCCTTAGCTGTCCCATGGACCTGTGCACTGGAGGCTGAGCACCTCTCCCTTGTGTCTGCTCTTGAAGCCACTAGATCTATCTGATGTGCCCATTAAATGCTGCTTTAGATATGTGAAGGTGACCCTAGGACATTGTGATTGAGGGTTTTGTTCCCTGCTCCTCAAAAGTCAGTCCTACTGGAATTTCTATACAATGATATTTAAAGGGAGTGTAAAAGAAATCTTGTCAGAGTTCTGGGAATCTGCCGAAGTGCATATTTGTGTTGGTTACTGTGGTGAGGTCTCGTGGGATGCAACCTGGAAATCCGTTGCTTGCAAGTGGGGAAATTCTTCTCCTTTGCCCAACTGCTGAGCAGAGCCAAATTCTTCAGAGTCCTGGGCCACGAGCTTGCCATTTCAGTGGGTTTGTGTCCTTGGACAGATCACAGATGAACCGCAACCCTTTTTGTTTTCTAGGAGGCTAATGGGGTAAACTGTATTTAGGCTAAAACATGTTTCTTCCACTTTTGGTATCTTTACCCCGCTCTCTGCTTGTGGTTGTTTTTTGGTTTTTGGCTTTGGTTTTTTTTTTTTTTTTTTTTTTGCTAAAGACCTTAAAGAAAGTGAAGGCCCTTCGCTAGTACAACATGTTGAGATTAATTCTGAGTCACTAGATCACATACAACAGCTGTGTGTACTTAACAGTTTGGCGTGAGATGCTATCAAAAGTGACCTTTGCGGTGCCTGGTAAGAATATAAACCTTTTGAATCCCCACTCTGAGTGACGTACACCTAATGGTAAATGGGGGATATATGTTTTCAAAGTTACGTATCATCTGTTGAAGAGCAGGAGGCTATTACTCTAAGGATGTCCGGATGCTCTGCTTGTTCTCTGTCATGTTCTGCTTGATGGTGCTTTACTTACGCTGCTGCTAACTACAAGAAACAATGTACTGATGTATACATAGATATGTATATATACTGTTAGCCTGTGTACAGTGGCTTAAATCACTTGTTGTTACTGCTAGTCCATTTGTAATTTTCTAAGCATTTGTGTTCCACCAGCACACTCAGAGTGAGTACTCTCAAGGGGGAATTTCCTTCCTGATAAACAATTCTGCAATGTGATTCAGCAGGAAGGATGTGGTGGTTAAGGCACTGGGTTGGGATTTGGGAGACATGGGTTCTGTTCCCAACTCAACCACAGTCAAGATGTGATGAGTGGAAGGGCAAGCAAATAAAGAGGAGGAGCTGTTTAGCTACGGCAAAAACATACTTTCACGTGGACTGTTTGTTCAGTTTGGAGGTTAGATAGGTCTGAGTTCTTTGTTTGGTTAATCAAGTAAACAATGTTAGAGACTCCTGTTTGTGCAATTTAAATCTGAAGACTAATCTTGACTTATTCTGGGAATCCAGATGTTGTTTTAACTACATGTTGTTTTAACTTCCATGAGATTTCAGATGCCACTTTTCAGTGTTTCTTGGTTAACTTAATTCACCAATTCACCATTTAGTTCTCTAATCTTTAGGCAATGTGCTATGACTTCTACACTAAGTTGTATATGCACACAGTTTCTCCACTATCTTGCTTAGATTCAAAGGCAACAGACCACACACAAGATGTTTTCTTTGTCACACAGGGTGAATTTCCTACAGTTTGACAGTAGCACTACATTTTTTCTTTTCAGAAGCAAGAGCTTGGGCTACCAACTCTGAGCTGTAGACTTCTAACCTCAGCATCCTGATTTTGTACTGCTTTTGGGAAGATGAATCAGGACGGTGACTCAAGTGATCAGCCCACTGGTGAGTTTTCTGCTTGTCCAAATGTTTGCCTATCTTCTCCTGTTCATTCAGCATGATTTACTTTCCATTTACTTTCCTTAGTGCTACTGGAGGAGACTGCTGAGTCACAAATAGAGCAAAACCTGTGAATTCAATGGTAAATTGAATGCTGTGAAGTTTACTGAATCTTTGAGGTTTTCTGGCCTACATCTAGGCATCAGCTTTCATAGAACTGTAATCCAGGTTGAAAATTTTTATAGCAATAATTTTTATAACTTCTCACCAGTTCAGAAAAAAGCATGATTTTTATTACACAACTCATTCAGATTTTATCCATGTTTTGGTTTTCTCATTAATTGCTTTACCCTATGAAGTAAAACCTGTGGAAGGTACACACACATATCATTTTCACTTATGTCCCATGAAGTTTCAGTGTCAAGGTCCTTGCCAGAGAGATTGAATGGGCAGGAATTTGTTATTAATTCTGACTCAGTCCTGCCATAAATGTCCTCTCTCCTCTTCCATCCCCATCTTTGGTTGTTGGAATTCAGTATCGTCTAGTGCTTCTGGCAGTTTCTGCGAAGGAGAAGGGCCTGGGAGATGCGCAAGCCAGGAGCAGTGGCTGACACCCTCCCAGACTCGTGCTCAGCTCAGTGCTTTTTTGGATGTGCAGAAGAACATTCTTAGGTCTGACGCGAGGGCTATTTTTTGACAGTTTCCATTGTTCCCCACTCTTTGTTAATGGGTGAGGTCTTTTTGTCTGATTCCTTTTTCAGAAATAGAGGCTGCTATGAGCTGTCTGCCTACAGGTTTGGGGATTTTTCATTTGTTGTCAAAAGTTCTGAGAATTTCTTCTTCCCTTTTTCAGACTCACTTGGGCAAACTTGCCCAGATAGCATCTGCCTGCGGGGATTGCTAAGATATCCCCTTGCTGGGATAACAAGGAAAGTTGTCCTCATAGCCACTGCCTTTGTGCCATGCTCTTGCCATGGCAATCCATGTGGCTGTAGGCAGACCAAATTGATGAGTTTGGGATTCTGAACACCTGCCTACACTGAAGATCTTGCTGTTGCCTATAGGTTGTCTGGAAGATCGAGAATAGAAAACTTTAGGAAAGTTCCTGTGGTAGCACGGAATATCTATTCTGTAATACTCTGCATGTGCTTTCATTACTGTCAACAGGTGATGATTACACGTCAGGATGTCATGCAGATTCATGAATCACCCACAGAAGGACCTAGAGGCTGGGTCTTGGGAAAAAGACATTCAAGGAGAGTCTCTCAAACACAGACCATCCCGAGTGCTCATGAGAAGTGTGTGGATCACGTATCATATTGCTCATTGCAGTGTTATTTTTTCTAGGGGTAATAAACATTATGCTGTGAGTTTAAATCCACGCTCTAGAACAGGCACAGGAATCAAGCTGTCCAGAGCAACACATTTCCAATGTACTACTTGTGTGGATTTTATACCTTCTGTTACAGTGTTTAGTACTGGTTACTCTTGGAGTCAAGATAAGACAGGTGTGACCCACTGATGATTTATGTCTTGGCTGAAGATAGGGATCTTCAAATTTGGACAGCCATTTGGTCAGCTACCAGCACAAGCCTTCTGTAGCCACCTATTAAGCTTTACATTGTCGGTTCATTTAATTATCTAAGCCTTGCTACCACTGTAGCTATACTTAGAGAGGAAGGATATTATAATCTTATGAAAGATTAAATTATTTTTACTGTAATCCAGCTGGAAGGGTAGCACTTTTCTCAGGGTAAGAGACAGCCAAGTTTTTTCCCATTCTGTCCTCCCCTTGTATACAGGAAGGAAGTGCTGGCAAAGGCCCCCTGAGCTTCCTGTCGACTTCGGAGCACATTTCCAGACATAGCCTTCTCTACCATCCATCACCCAGCCCAGCCAAACAATCACGGCAGCGCAACAGGAAAAACACACTTCTCGCATAAACATTTTGGAGGCAGCGTGAGCGCAAACTGCTGGGATTTGTGCACAAGCCAGTTTGATCTGTTGGTTGTGTCTGGCAGCAGGTTACTGGGGATTTTCTTCTCTTTATAATTATCTCAATAATCAAAATTCCCCATTAGAAGAAACAGCTTCCCAAAGAAAAAAAGGGGAAGAAGGAGGAAAAGGACTGATGTTTGGTAAAGAAACTGCTGCACTGACAGGTTGTAGAGCCCGAAGCCAAGGAAATGAGTGGGGCTGCTCTGTGGTCCAGAGTACCCCAGGGTGATGTGTCTGGCAACAGGGGAAGGAAGTAACTGTTGTCTGCTGTGACAGAGGCAGAGGTTTTTGTCAGGTCTTCAGGGCAGGGCAGTGATGAGGCAAATGCTGTCTATGGTGCCTTAAAGAAGGAGGAAATAAATAAGGTGGAAGCCCCTCCTGTAAATGAATTACCTTTGCTGAATATGATTCTGTGCCTGCCTCCAAGAAAAGGCTCAGAACTGAACCATGATCTTTTTCTTGTATTTCTGGTTTTGTTTAAATTCTGAATTACAATATTTAGATAATATTTTCAGACCTATCTGCTCTGTAACTTTTTTTAAACCATTCCTTAAAACAGCTATTTGGTTTTGGTTTTTTACAGTATGGTTTTAGTATTCTTTGAGCTGGGAATTTCATTTTGGTTCTATTAGCAAAAGCCTGCAAAGATAGGCTTTAAGAGATAATGAGCAATCACTGAAACACCTCTCAAGATCACTGTATAATCCTGTTGTACAGCTGGTTATGACAGAATAGCAAGAGCCTAACTTGACAGAGAAACAACTTTTAAATATTTAAGGTTTAATTTTCCTTATACATCTAGCCTGAATGTTTTATGTGTAAGGCTGAGCACCTGGGTTGATCTCTCTGAGTGTGGGCATCCACAGAGACAGAGCCCGTTCTGCATTACTGTGTTCTCACTTTGCATTTGCCCATAGGTGTTTTGGAAGCCATCCTAATGTCCTTTCACCTGAGATACACCAAAGCTACCTCCTAGTAGGTTGTGTCCAACAGCAAGAGGACTACTTTGTACTCAGGAATGGAAGGAGGGGGATAGAAAGACTATCAACCACCAAAGCAATTGTGCTTGCCCTTCTGGTTTCAAATTGATGCTGCCCTTGTTGAACTGTATTCTGTGTTTGAGCCCACACCTCAGGGTTGGCTAAGCACATCATCTTGTAAGTTAGAGTGGAGTTAAAACACCTTAAAGACTTCTCTGTTTGGGTCATTGGAGGGCTTGGGGTAAAATTCAAGTCAAAGTCCAGCTTAATGGTAAATTTATAATTTATCCTGAAATTTCAGCAGTTGCACAGTGTAAGAAAATAATAATTTTGGAGGTTATGTTTTTCCTGAATTAATGTGACGCTACAGGATTCCATCAACCTTTCCTCTGACTTTTCTCTCTGAAAAAGGCTACTGTCAATAATTTTTCCATCATGACTTAAATTTGCAGTGTGCCCAGTGTACTCAAAGCCAAAACAGTATTTACTTAAGGCTATGTTTTGGCGAAGCTGGGAAGAAACTTGCATCTGAGAGTAAGCTCTAGAATTAAAGAAGGAGTATGTTGTTTTAATGATAAGGTTTTTAGGCTAGTGTTGTGGAAGTAATTGGTGAAGACTTTCCAGAAGCAAATTGCGTACTACTGAAATCTGGCTGCTCTGACCCCATGTGCATACTGGCTGATGTGGTGGGTTGTATCTGTAACACAACTTTCAGTGTCGTTTATGCTTTTTATACTTTTTTACCATGTAAAAAACAGTGTATAACGCTTAACAGTCTTGATAAGCAAAAAAATCTCCAGCTCCATGCTGACTACCTGCATGAGCACCTCGTCTGCCTAGCCATATAAGCCTTTCTGTGGTTATTTAATTCCTTCTCTTCTGTTTCACATTTTTATTGTCCTTTGTCTGGGCTTGCAACAGGCATGGGGTGGGGAGTAAGCTCCTTAAATGCCTTTACAATACTCTGTGGGACAGAAGTTATTTCTTACTTAAGGTCTTTACAGAGTGCACTATTATAGAGTCCTCACTTAAAATCTGAAGGCATTTCTGAAATGTTAACAATTATTTTTTAATCTACCAGAAATGCACATGAATAACACCAACTGAAAAAGAAAAGAAGGTAAAAGTTACTGGGGATGGGCAAGATAATAAACATCAGTAATAGCTGTATGTTTATGAAAACAATAACAAAACCAAAACACTCACCCATCAGGGCAATGGCCTAGAACTAAGAAAAGTCAGGTTTCCCAGCTGTTCAAGGCTGAATGTAGATGCTGTCAACTGAAGCTGTCAACTTTAAAAGAAAAAAAGCAAAACACAACCACCTAGTTTCAGGTTCTGCCGTAGACCCAAAGTCCCCAGACAGTTTGTGGCATTTGGCAGTCTCATTTCCTTGTTTCATGAAAGTATTAATCTTCCCCTTTGTGAAGCTCTGGCTGTACATGGGAAAGTGCTCACATTAACAGCATGCAGAATTTCTTAATTTCCTTCTAGAAAATAATTTATTGTGTCTTCGCTTGTCCTGGCCATCCTGTTTGGAGGAAGGGACATCACTCGTAGTGGGCAACGGGCGCAATTCTGCTTATTTCCTACATGCACTGATCTCTTATTTATGTTACTAATCTAATTTTGCACTGTGACAGCAACAGGTTAAAAAAGGAGACAGGACTGTGATTTGTTGACAGTGTCCCTTTTAAGTACAAGAGTGCCAACTTGAAATCAATCCACCACATGCTAGCCGAGCAATGTAAGGAACGCGGGACGGCAGTAACATGATCAGATTTGCTGAAACCACCGAGCAAAAGTGCTGCTGCGCTGGGAGAAGCTGCGAGCGACAGAGGTGTTTATTTCAAGAGACTGTGGCTAGGAGGACTGGTAATTCTCAAAGAAGTGAAAGCAGGCAGGGACTTGCGAGCCCCTTCTGACATATGCTGTCATGGTTCACGGCTCAAGGGAAGACAGGACTGCCCAAGACTCTGAAAAGTCAAAGAAATAGGCTTGTGATAGTAAATGCTGGTGGTCCAGAGA